AATTTCGATGATCGAAAATGACAAATGAATTTTCCAAAGTTTTGACCCTTTACGGCCGGCTGTTGCCAAATGGCAACATACAGCTATTCAACATAGAAGTACCGTTCAATTTTAAGAAATATTTTTTTGCTATCTCTATGACAAAATAAGAAAATATATGTAGAAGAAGAGTTTTAACTATGTCGCTACTGGGAGCCGGCTGGAAAGGGTTAACTCTTGCTGATATGAGCAAACATAACTAGTATTAACTGAAAATCGAAATCAATCCTACATTTCTTAGTAGAAACGAACAATTTTGGTCGTGCTGAGAATATGGATTCATGATGTCGACTGCAGATTCAAATTTGTTAAGTTTGTTAGAACGATGTTTCGAGATCAACATGATGATTATTCAAGAAGTGGAGGATCAATGGGAACTAGTTTCTGCATAGAAACATATGTGGATAGTATCAATCAAGCAGTAGTGTGAAACTTAAAACTTGAATTGAATGGAAATTGCAATTTTCAACTTTCAACTGACAACGATAATATGTGTGAGTCACGATTCTTCAGAATGCTATTGGTTTAAAAGTTCAAAGTTGAAAATTTCAATTGAATTCAAGTTCCCAGTTTGACATATATGCATGATTTTAACATCCACGAACAGCTGAAGTAGCCATACATGAAGCAACTACTTATGCTAGTGTAGTGAAAATCGGCAAATATTGCCCAGCTAAATATAATCTATTTCTTGAAACATCCCGTAATACCGTATTGAATGCTATCAACAGCGTTATAGAATACATTTCCATGCAACAACAATAAAAACCAAAGAAGACTGTGCTAAATTGAGATTACGTCTTCAGTGTATAGAGTAAAGTCATCGTGCATTACATTGTTCTAAATAACCAGCAGCGTCAAAACAGGTTTCATTACGGCCAATTCAATTAAAAACGGTCATTTCTATATGTGATGGAGCACACATCTTCTGATACCTTTTTCTGAATCTTCGCGTCCTAAAATAACGCCATCACCGCAACAACCGCTTTGAATATCACAGTCAGAATCAATTGAACTAAAACATCAATTAAAGGTGATACGAGTGAAAAGGCTTGTTCCTTCTAGCAAATCAACATATAAAAATGCTGCTTCTGTTTTATTTGAAGAGAGAAGTCAATTAAACAGAATCACAATAAAAACCAAATATTCTATTTCATGTTTGGCTAAAATGCTACGCTAACTTAAGCATGCGCAAACTTTTCTTAAGAATTGATTTCAAAAGTGGGTACCACCTAATTCGAATCAACAATCACGAAGTGGAAAAAGCTGTATTTCAAACACGGGTTAACAAATGAATCACCAACTTTTTTTGTGATTAATGAATACTAGACTTCAATAGAATATCGATAATGTTGTTATCATTTATTAGTTTCAAAATTATTACGTGAAATAATGAGATAAATTTTCTCGATCATATTGTCACATTGCATAGAACTAAAGGCCATGATGGCACAGTTATTGCTGTAAAATATTAGCGAATACAATGAAATTCAACACGTATGAAATTGTTCTTAAGTGCCACCAGTTTTATCGCCGATTTATTTCGAAATCTGCCAAGATTGCAACACCCCTAACAGACTTATAATAAAAGATAATGTTAAATTTATATGACCAAATATACCACATACAGAAATTATCACATTACTAAGAGCATCTGTTTAACGTCTGCCTGATTTAAATTTAGCCTTTGTTGTAATAACTGATGTTAAAGTGGCTGCTGCCAGAGCAGTGATGATGCAGGTGAGAGGTCAATCACGAAAAACCCCGGACTGAAAATTATCGATCGTTAACGGCATAAATGCGATATATAAACAGCATTTAGTGTTGTGAACATTATACTGATCAATATCGAATAACATGCATAAATGACATTTGTTTTTGTAAAGAATAATCACAAAACAAAACGTCTACTGCAATTATTTTGCATAGAAAGCATCGCAAAGCATGTCTGTATATTTGTCTCATTACTAGAGAGGACAATACGATGAAATGCTAGCTAAAAAAGGAATGAAAGTATTTATTTTACAAGACACTGTAATATTAGATGGCAATAGAATAAAATTCTGTACTTTTGATGTATTATAAAAACTCAATAGAGATATGTGAATTGTTGTGAGTACGAATATGGGTTTTCTCTTTACCCACATATATTCCTTCCTAACGCGAGTATAAACTTCAGTCGCATTCCAAAAATGCAGTCGACCAAATCAACACTTCAATGACTGTTGAGTATTATAAATTTTATATGAAAATGACTTACGCGAGTGATTTTTTTTAAACCTAGGCTCGTTTCTAGCACTAGGAATCGTCATCGTCCCAGTTCGTTGATATCTTTCTTTATTCGCTATACATATACTCATTGAAACTAAAGGTTGCAACAATGTTGAATCAGACCCAAGGTTTTATTTTGGAAAAACCTTTGTTAAAACTCAAACAAATGCAAACCATAACTTCCTTATGTTGTCACTCTTCAATATCAATTTCTTGCGCATCTCACTCACTTTCGCGTTCATCCTGAAGTTAGGATCATATGATTGATAATTAGCAGCAAATATATATATATATATATATATATAGTCAGCCGTAGTTTTATTCAGCTGATTCATGCATACTTGATTAATCATTCAGTGCAACCTACTGGTAACGAAGTCATAAACATTTTTAATTCAACTAGAAATTTTACTTTTCTTAAACTAAAAACACATACATATGCAGAAAAAAAACGAAATAGTTTATAATCATGTCTTAGGATCTACTTTTGTTCCTAGTAAATCTCTTATTTCAGTTAATACTTTGATTTGTTCGCGAAATTCTTGCATCTGATCGTTATCCTCATCATTCTTCTTTTTGTGGCCGTTACGCAATCTTATAACTAATATAACTATACAGAATAATGCAAATGATGTGAACAATAAGTAGATTAAACTTTCAATGAATTCACCATAACGAATAACAACTGGTGGATTATTTGGATAATCGAAGTTATGCATTTTAATTGTTAAATTAGAAAATGCAGTATCACCAAAGAGAAACCCAAATGGTGGTAAAAGAATATCATCGACCAATGATTCAACAACGGTGCTGAAAGTTCCACCGATAACATAAGCTACAGCTATATCAATCACTCTGAGTTGGAAGACGAAACTATTCACATAAAGTTATAATAGAAGAGAAGTGAAAATTAAAACAAATTCTTTACATACGCGCGAAAGTCTTTGCAAAAGAGTCGAGCAGAACCGCAACAGCCTCCCATTTTAATCTAAAATAATATTTATTACATTATCGAATTGATTCAAACCAACTTCAAGTTATTCTATTGGATCATACCTATACAATAAATGTATTATAAGCATTAGTAGTATCAGTATTTGCCAATCTTATCAGTGTGTCCGATTCACATTGTGTTTAGGTTTATTTAAATAATATATTTCCATGATTGGTAAAATCTTATGTTACTTCATGTTTAATACTTGTTCAAAATGCTGGAACAAATGTCAACAAATATTGTTTAAAAACACGGTATTTGAAATATTCTCAGAGCTTAGTTTTCATCATTCTCAGCTAACAAAAACACACTGTTAGTTCTTAAACAAGTAATACTTCAAGTGAAGTAATCAAACTAGCAACATGTTTTGTTGAGATTAAAAGTACCAATGTATATTGTGAAGAACATTTCAATATTTATTTTTATTACTAGCAAAATTCTAAGTTTTAATATCGTAATCCGAGCAAATTTAATGCAATTGAGAGTTTTAAGCAATATTGAACGAGAAATCTGCCTTTCAAAAAATATGATCTACGAGAAGACGCATAGCTCTGGTTCATACATCGATGAAAATAAATAGTTGAGAAAAGAATACCAACCAATACTATCTTTCGAGCGTGAAAAGAAACAATCTTTCTGCCTCAGTGAATAAAAAAAGATGCTTCGCTTTATAATATCAGTATC